TTCAATTATAAATACCTCCTCTGAGTTATTACAGGCAGAAGTCAGTTCTTAAAGTCTATTTATCTAGGTATTGACTATAGCCAAAGCAATGATACTCCAAATTACTTCTATACCGCCAATTTTCTTATTATGAAGGAACAGCTAATCAGTCCTAAACTAATGACAGATTTTAAACAAAACCCATATTCCTACAGTCACCATCTAAAAGAGAAATACAGTCTCTGAAGATCAAGACAAAAATCCTACTAGGAATCTGCTGAATCCATGCACCTCCCTGAATCACGTTCCCCACAGTGAACAGGACTTTAGACCCTTCCGTTCAGTTAGGTTTACTAACTTTAATAGAAGAATTATCGTCATACTTTAAGAGTTGAAGCGTGCTAAACTAAAAGAGAAAAAAACAACCAATATATAAAAATATTTTTTGAACAATGGAATGAAAAAAAATCAGTGCTAGAGTATTTCCCCTGCAGTCTATTACCTGGTTCAAAGAAATCAGAGAAACAAGCTTCCATTGCATTGCACGATGAAGTGCCAATTAATTTCTTTCTACTTTAGCCACTCCTCTGTTAATGAAACAAAGTCAATTAAGCATCTTTGAAAATAAATTCTCCTGACTGTTGTGGCTAAAGTGTACTGTTTTATACTGTGCCTTAAGATCATTTATTCCTCTTCTCAAATTGTTGATAATTAAACATTCCTAGCAGGAAAGACCATTTTATACAGAGAAACCACTCCAAGGGCATTTTTCCTCTCTTGTCAGGTTCTGCTTAAGATGACTTAAACATCCGAAAAAACTCAGAATTTCATTTGCTGTCCCTATTCATAGCATTCAAGAATCTGGCAGCTCTCAGATGAGTACAGCATGAATCAGCATGAAGAATGTTTGGAATCAAGGAAAAGGGAAAATGAGGCCTCATACCTGTTTAAGAATAACTTACTGCGTAAAATGGATCAACCATAATCAACTTTTCTGATAGAATTAAGAACCTAAGGTTCTATTTATAAAGTAATGTACAGATGCCTTCACAGACATAAGTGATATTTGCAAGACATTCCAAAATAAAAATCTAAAATCCAGTGTCCAACATCAAGACCATTTTAGTGCCTGCAGTGAGAATGAGCAGACTAAGGAACCAATCTAATTAAACAGTGGGGGTTCTTTTCCTTATCCAAACTGTTCAACCACCTGAGTACAAGAAAAACAGGAATAAAGACACAGGGTAACAGGTTATCACAAGTCAGCAACTAGCTGTGAACATTCTCAATCCACTGTAATGTGAATTGACACACATCAGCTTACATTTCAACGAAATAATTTTAAAAGTGTTTCACTTCATACTTGCAATAGGTCACAAATACACATACAGACAGATCACAGGTCAGTTTTTGATGATCACTTACTGAGCTGTAATAACAAGTTATCAATTAAATCACTCCCCAAGAATTGAAATATTTAAATAAAGTGGAAACGTGCATCTCGCTTTGCTTCACTCATCTTTTCTGTTTCATGCTTAGACAACTTTATTCAGTACTGACTATTCAAATCCATAAACTAATTTTTTTTCAAATCTTCTCTATGATGCATGCAACTACAGCATAAGAATGCACAGCAAAAATTATGTATGTACAAAATATCCCCGAGAGGCACAGACATATTAATATCATTCTACATATAAGGAAGAAACACTAAGCTCTAGATTTTAACTTTTACTACAGTTTTAATTTGTAAAGATAGTTTAGACAGTTGTTCTATCACTCAGTGACTCCTCCCCACCCAGAGAGGGGAACAGGGAAAAGGAAAAGAGACCAGTGGTTGAAATAGAAAGAGATTTAATAACAATAATAAACCTCAATATTAATAACTTGTAAACATTACATTACATTAAGCCAATGTAGTGGTCATAAGCTGTGATGATCGCAGCCTGGGGTGCAGGGCTCAGAAGCAGAACAACAGGCAAGACACTCCTGAGGCAGTAGTCATCGATGAAAGAGAGCCATCCCCAGCAAACTCCCCAATTTATAGCAAATATGACATTTACAGTATGGAATAATTCTCCTTGGTCAGCCTGGGGTCAACTGCCCTGGCTTTCGCTCTCCCCAGCTTCTGCATCTGTTTAAGTCAGAACTGCTAAAGACCTTGATCACCACATACCAACGCTGGCCAAAAACTAAAACAAAGTGTCTTATTAACTCTGTTTCCGCTATATTGAGTACTGTAGTCTTTGCAGAAATGCAGCTTTCTCAAATAGAAAACTGATTCTATTATTCTATCCCAGGGAAACCAGGACAGCAGTCTTGTGTAACGTACACACACAAAGTATATCAAATCAAGTTGTTCTATCACTCAGTGACTCCTCCCCACCCAGAGAGGGGAACAGGGAAAAGGAAAAGAGACCAGTGGTTGAAATAGAAAGAGATTTAATAACAATAATAAACCTCAATATTAATAACTTGTAAACATTACATTACATTAAGCCAATGTAGTGGTCATAAGCTGTGATGATCGCAGCCTGGGGTGCAGGGCTCAGAAGCAGAACAACAGGCAAGACACTCCTGAGGCAGTAGTCATCGATGAAAGAGAGCCATCCCCAGCAAACTCCCCAATTTATAGCAAATATGACATTTACAGTATGGAATAATTCTCCTTGGTCAGCCTGGGGTCAACTGCCCTGGCTTTCGCTCTCCCCAGCTTCTGCATCTGTTTAAGTCAGAACTGCTAAAGACCTTGATCACCACATACCAACGCTGGCCAAAAACTAAAACAAAGTGTCTTATTAACTCTGTTTCCGCTATATTGAGTACTGTAGTCTTTGCAGAAATGCAGCTTTCTCAAATAGAAAACTGATTCTATTATTCTATCCCAGGGAAACCAGGACAGCAGTCTTGTGTAACGTACACACACAAAGTATATCAAATCATAATGAACATACACATTTAATTAGTTTGTAAACTATAATAACCAAGTAAAAAAAAAACCAAAACACACTCTTCATTTGCTTTGAAGAGAAAGTAAATTATGATGAAGTAAGAAATTGAGACAGCCTATACAGAAATATATGCAGTAATTTTATAACACTGATATCTACTAATATCAGGGAACATTTTTATGTCTTATAGGTACAATTTGAATGAACCCTACATTATATGCTCTTGAATAAAAGAAGGAAAAAGTTTGGAGTTCTTGAAGATGTCATTAATAACAACCAGGGATTCATTCAAGCACAATGCTCTGTGCAGTTCTTTAAAAGTTTACATCAGAAGTCAGTATTACTACTGCTCATGTAAATTTAGGGAGCTGTCTAATGCGGGAGCTAATGTGCCAGAAAATAATTACCGTAAGTCAATTCTCTATCTATAATTCAAAACCTACCATTGCCAAATAATAAGCCTTCCACACTTTCCTGAGACTCACAGGACTCTCATTTGGGATTTCCTGGCTACAAATACACATCCACATGCTATGCAGTACAGGAGCAACAAATGCAATACAACTGGGATACGTTTCAGACCTGTACATGACTTGTATTTACACACATGCAGTAAGTGCAGTCTGGCCCTGATAGACTATAGAATTTAAGAGCAACAAGCTTAGCATAGCCCAATCTGTCTGATTCATTGAGTGTGGGCTCTTTTACCCAAGATGTGCAGGCATGAAACCCCAAACAGCTGATTTCCTATGACAGGACTTCCAGGTGACAGAAAGAAAGATGTCCAGATACACTCAGATATATGGTAGCTGAACCTCTGCATCCATCAGTTCAGTTTGAGAAGCAGTTGAGAACAGCTTGAGAAACAGAAATTCAGTCACTAGAACCACATACCCCACGTGTGAAAACACACTTTTGTAACATAATAGGAGTTAAAAGACTTTCCTCTTCAGCTCTTCTGGCAGTGATAATACAGCAGCAAGGTAAAATATTCTGACTTATGTCAGAGGTGACAATGCCAGAAAAGAAAACAGATTTGAGAACTCTCCTGTGCTACGTTGATGACAGACAATCATTTCAGATTAATTGCATGCTGTTTTGGGGTTGGTTTCGTTTGGTTTCTTTTGTGGGGGGAGAGGGAGGTTGTTCATTGGGTTTTTTTAGATTTAAGCATACACTGCATACCTGCTGAAGTATGTAATTATATTAGTAACAAATTAAGTGTATATAGTATTTTCCTAACAGTTTAAAGACATTATAACCTAGAATTCCCAGAAGCCTCTTCACCTATTTTCTAAAATATGCCATGTGGAACAAAAGCACTAACGAACTTGCAAACTTTGCTAGTGTGAGATGCAAGCAGAAAGCCCTCAGAAACAGGAATAAACTAATAAGAAATTTTAAAAGATTCACTTTTAAAAACAAAATTTTCAGAGTGATACATCTATTTAATTGACACCTTTGAGGAAACAATGAGGAACTGAGCTTCATTGTAAGAAGGCCATGAATCAAAAAGAATATTCTGAAATTTCTATAGTTTTTTGTATTATCCCCATCTCTATCAAGTCATATCTATAGACAAGTTTGAAGCTGGAAGAATAATACATTTCTAATAAATCACTTTGTCCTCTGTGATTCCAAAGGAAAAGAAGGATGTTGAATAAGTTTCTATTTTTACACTCATCACCTAAAACTGAGCTGCTGAATCACTGTAATTATAGTAACATCATATTATTAGCCGAGTATTATATAATTATGAACCATATTATGATACATATATATTACATTATATTATTACACTATTGTATCAATCCGTTTGGAACTAAAGGTATTCTTGTTGTCTGGGAAGGTGCTAAGTATCCGAGTAGCAATTGGTATTCAAACTCCTCTTTGATGGGGATGTGGCCTCAACTTTTGCCATATTTGACAAGATAAATTAACCCTTTTCATACCAACACGGGAGATTCATGCTTCAACAAAAACAACTAAATAACAATGAGTAAAACTGCCTGTATCCCATTGTCTAGCACAGACTTAGACATTTTGAAGAGTCAGTCAAAAAGCACTTACCACACCAATTCCTTCAAAAGCAAATATTGCAGTCCCAAAAAACAGTGAGTATTTCTTCCAGCCAATTACAGGAGGCAGTTTTCGAGGATCTACTATATCCTGAAGAAAACAAAGGAAAACAGTTCTATGTAAAGCACATTACCTGCTCCTACAATTTTGATTGATGTGTTAAGCTACAGGAAAGAAAACTCAGTACATGTTAACAGTGGAGTATACGCGGCTATTTACAATCCCTGCTTTTCTTTCCAAACTTAGTCCTTTATACACATTTATAGCCACCTTCCCATCCACACACAGATGCTTGCAGACATATTTATTCTAGGTTCATATTACTGACACTAGAAATTTTCACATTTAAAGTATCATACTGGTGCATACAAGCGAGCATCAATTAAAACAAAAGGTAAAGCTCACAACTCAAGCACAATCCTCTGCAAACTTATGCTGTTCTCAGAGTACTGCATTTTCTTATCTGCTTCATATGGCACAGATATTCTTCATAACCATAAGGGACAGCAAAAAAATATTTTTAATACAAGCTGAGTTTCTGCAGAACAATTAATTACTCTCCCCCCTTCTCTTTATGTAACTTGACCTGTCTCCTTGCCTAGCCAATACCTCTCGCTGGCTTTTCTGTCTTCCTCCCCATCCTCTGCTTCCCACTTCTTTCATACACTTTCAAGAAAAAAAAAAAAGCTCTCAAACAATAGTGGCACTCACCATTTATCTACACCATGTGTGCAACAGTGTCTACCACTTATCATTTCTCAAAAATGTAGAGGTTTCTATAAGTTTTTCTTTTCCAGCCATCAGTTTAATTTTTCCATTGTGAAATACCTCCAAATATGAAAAACAGAAGCAACGCAGAAAATGCAGCAACTATTCAACTTCTAAGGAGAGGGAAGTCTGCAATAGGTATTCTTAAAGGACAAGTTTTAATTTTTTCCTGGATGAACTGGAGAAACACCAGAAAAAAAATCACTGCTGTTGAAACTGTTCTTCTGTTGCAATGAGAAGATTGACCACAGATTAAAACCTTGCAAATTCTGTGAGCAACCCATAAAAGTTCACATATTCTTCCACTCAAGGACTCCAAGTCATTACAACACATATTCTTATGACCTCAGGTGCAGCAATATTATCCTTTCTTTTAAAAGTACAGTGGAAGTCAGTGCTTACAGCACATCTCAGGCATTAAGGCACTTCGTTAAATGAAGATGCCTCAATAAAATACAATATAACTCTTCCTTTCAGAAATTTTCAGTCAGTAATATATCTATCAGAGAACAACTGCCACATGCAACAATACAACTTGCCACATTGAAAAAAACAGCTGATAATTAATTTTTTTTTATACTCACTTTAACAATATACTGGTAAATGATCACCAGGCTGACAGCCATGGACAGATTGGCAAGCAATGAAAGCAAGGACAGGCTTTTAAGGTCACGAATAAAGACCAGGAGGATCATGAACGGCAAGAAACACAGCATGTATATTCGTAAATCAGTACTCCTGTTCTCAGAAGTGCTGGTGGCACTGACATTTATGGGAACAGTTTTGTCTTCCAAGAATCCTTCATGGACCTGTAGGAATAAAAACCAAAACGTGTTAAACAGTGGTAGCACTGAGTCTCTGTATACAGCCACATCACTGGTTTTCTATAGGGGAACTTGTCCCTCTGCTTTATCTGCTGAGTGCCAGCTGTTTCAGGACCCCTGTACTCTCAGTGCAGAGTGGATGACAAGGCACTTTTAGCAAGTGTTTCACCCTTAAGACAAATGATGAAATCAGGACCTGAGAGATCTGAAAGCGTATTTATACCACCACCGACTAAAGAGGAAATCCACACAAGCAGTTTTGAAGATTCCTTTCAGAAAGGGAGATTTCAGTTAAATGAATGCAAGTGAGATGGATCTAGGTTTAAATATTAGAGTTTGAATTTTCCAATGGAAAGTAAGGGGGTTCGATGACCAGCTGCTATTGTACCTGAGTTCAGTGCCCAATAAACTGACGCCTTTGCCATAGACATCGTAGCAGCATACAAATATGTTAGTACATGAACTTGCCTTTCTTTGAACTCAAATTATTTTATTTTTCACTCTTCAATCCTTTATTAATCAACATTTGCCCAACTTTAAAAACCATGAGCTTCACGAGAGTTGAGAGTGTTGCATCCATTGCACTGATATAAATTAATGCGTATAGATAAACAATAGTGAACAATGTGAACATTGTGAACACGTATTAGGTTTTTTGGATATAACACTACAATAATTCCTATGGTGTAGTTCAGAAGACAGAGTTTGGCACTATTCACAACTCTCATTACTGCTTATGGAAAAATGTTAATGTTGCCATAACTGCCAAGATGTGTTTTGTGGAAATATATTCTGTGCTATGTGCACACCCCAATCAAAACGTCAAGAGACGGTGGTTATTCTGCTTGCTGCAAAATTATAACAGTTCAAATCTGTTTTAAATCTTATCATGCCTTTTCCCTAGGAGTGCATCCTTCCCTTTTCACTTCCATTGCATTTGCCATCTTACAAATCAGCACATGATTGCATTTAATCTGTTCATGATGCAGAAGGCCTTTGGCTTGATGATTGCGAAAAGATACCGAGAGCAGTGGGGAAAAAAATAGTTCCTTATAGCACAAAGAGATTTAAACAAAAATGGAAAATCAATATATAACAAACCAACTACTATAGCCACAGTCTTAAAACTTAATATAGAAATAAACTCAGTGGAAGACTGTATAACCCCACAGTCCGAGGAAGTGTACGAGTGTAGCAATGCTTAAATATTATTATCCTTATCACTTAGTTCACAGGCACAGTCCCAAGACTGATTCATTTATGTGCAATGCTTTCCATATGGTTTGTTCTTTAGAATGTCAGTTATAATCTCTGCAAGTGGAACAATAAGATCGTAAATCCTGCCTCAAAAATCCAAACACGTTGAGCTGCTACCATAAAGAGGCAAGTATTATCATTATGATGGAAGTTTTTATGTAGCCACAGCAGTCCTAAGCAAACGCCACAATTACCAGTACTTAATGACACCTATTTTAGTTTATAGGTCACAGAAAGACAGGGCTATTAATTTTTTACTTTGAGGAACAGAACGAAGTGGAGAAAAGAGGACAAGCTGGATATAGGGTAGCAATCAAGGGATCATTGGAACTGTGAGGCTTCCACGAGGTAGAGGGAGTTAGTTGACAATGTAAAACCAAATGTATGTAAACCAAGTCATTTAAATTAGCAAGTCTGCCAAAAGCCAGACTTCACAAGTCAAAGAGGAAAAAAATAAATGCACAATTCACTTTATTTCCATTGTTTCAAACAATCCACAAACTCAGGAAAACAGAATTAACTTAAAATTCTTTTGTCTGTAGCAAAAAGTACTAGACAGATTTTTTTCTACTATGAAAAAGAGAAAAAGATACAATTCTGCAAGCACTTGTTTTCCAGAAATTGCACTTTAAATGACAACCGAGGACACCAGTCATTAAGGAAATACTGATAGTTTCCACCTTGCAAGAATGTTAAGTGTCACTTACAAGACATTTAACATCTGTTATTTCTCATTAAGATAACATTTTTAGAAAGCTACAAAGAAAAGCTAAATTCACTTAGGAAAATCACTTTGCCACTTTGCCAAGCAATGTGTCTAACACTTAACCAAATTACTTCTCTAACGCCACATGAAGTAAAGCTCTCTGTGGAAGCTTCCCGCTTTCCCACCGCACTCGGAACAGAAATACAGCACAGGCGCTTGAACAGCCTTCCGCTCTAACCGGAGTCTCCTGTGTTTACTCACTCGCATGCATCCGCAGGTAGCCAGAGCTGCTCTGCACACAAGGACACATCAGAGGGTTTTCTAAGAATTACAGTGTGATTTGAGTCCCGTTGAAAACCTCAGCTACATTAACTATTTAATCTAGCGTGCCTTCAATTTATATAAAGGTCTGTAAGCCTGATGAGCTATTTTTTAAAAAACAATTATTCCTAAAAAAAATAACTGCAGGTAGAATGCAGTTCAGGTTCTAAAATTCATTTTTAAAATACCGCAGTATAAAACAGCTGCTAAATGAATAATTTCAAGCATTCAACCACTTCAGTTTTATCTTAAAACAAAGACATTCTGGTTTTATACACAAACCCCAATAAAAAGCTCCTAAAATCAGAGCTCTTTTTCTTTTCCTATTAACAGCGCCAAATTCCAACTAGACATTCAACTGGAGTTTACTGGCTAATATGGCTGGACAACGTAGTATACCATATTTTACAGAATTCTATTCAAGATTAGGTTTACTGTTATCAGCTACCCTGATGATGATCAGATCACACTCCCACATTGGGTTAGGTAAGAGTGGTCATACAAAAGAAATCTTATAATTATCAGCCTTTTATTTTCACAAAAATATGAGGAAAGCACAGAACCCCTACTACAGCTGCACACAAACTTTTCACAACAGTCACCAGATTGATGACGGGAACCGTGGGCCTTGTTTATTCTAAGATAGATTGTACCAAGACAAGAAAAACCTTGGTGCAAGAAAACACCAAAACAAGAGCCATCTGGAGACCTTGGTGTAAAAAAATACTTGCTCATGCATCTTGTGTATCCTTGACGGAAGTAGATAGGCCCCTAGAAGCAATAAACACCGATAGGGTGAATTCTGAATGAAGTATCCTCTCCAGCTCCTCATCAGCACAGTACAAATCACACCTCTAGAGAGAAAAGCTCTCTACACACTGAAGCCCACTCCTCACTGAGCATGCATGATAAAATAAAAAAGCACTACCACATTAAAGGATAGTGAAGAGTTAGTTACCCAATTATATAGGTGAGCAATATCTGTATTCATAGTAATGAGGTCATCTTTTAATCTTTTTCATATAAAAGAACTCCTGTATTTTGGGGAAAGTGTGCTAGCTTTGTGGAGTTACCACCTAGCACCTATCTCTGCACAGAAATGTAATAAATCAAGTAACTCAACTCTGTGTGTTTTTTGCCTCATTGCAGGTAAAAGAACCCTGATTTTGGGGACAACAAGATGAACGAATATTGATGCAGAATCAGCAAAACACAGATAACTATAATTACCAGACTGTGACTCCCCGACCCTAGCTTCCTACCTCCCACTTGCACGTTTCAGATACGAGTTACAGTGCTACAATAAATCACAACACTTTGCAATACTGAAAATATAACTTGCAATACTGCAAATGCAGTACCCCTTCTCCCTGCACTCTTCCATGCCCCAGCATTGACCAGAGGTAGGAAATGGAGCCCAGATGGATTGTTAAAAATGTCATTCCTTGGAGGAGCCTGCATCAGATCCTGTTCCTTGAAATACAGCTTAAAGAAAGATATCAGGGCATCAGAGACAGCCAAGCCCAGTGTGCTCCTATTCCAGTCTTGCTGCAGTCAGCCTCCAGCTCTTGATCTGTTTCACCATTCTTCTCCAACTCGATACATATTTGCATGCTGTGAGACTGAACTAGAACTCTCTCTGCCAACCTGAGTTTCTTTGGTGCCCCAGGAAAATATTTCTTAGAAAAGCTTCATTTGGAATTTGATATAACTGGAAACAGGGTCTTATAGCATAAAGCATCTGGAAAACTGTAGTGCAATGCAGCCAACATTGTTATAATCTCACAGACACTAATCACAGAAGATTTAGCACTAGAAGCTATACTGCATATCCATTAGCGAGAAGGGTACAGCAAACATTTCACAGAACTCCAAAGATGAAAGAAATATTTAGACTCACATGCACCACTGTGTGTCTAACTAAATATTCAGCTGAAAGTAATGTGGACTGATGGATACTCAATTCACGTGCCAGATACATTTTAAAATGCTTTGCTGCTTTTTTTGTTCTGTGAAAGAGTACATAAAGGTGAAAGAAGAGACTACTAAGTTCGGTTTGGTACTAGTTTTAACTAGGAATATCAAAGAAAAGATCTCAGTGGAAGTTTCCACTTGTTCCAGTGGGCTGTCTGCACACACCAACACACAAACTTAATAAGAGTATGGAGCATAATGCAGAGGTATTGGTCAAGGAGTGGTCTTAGTAACATTTTTACTATGTTTTTTCTTTATGTTAGTTCCCCACTTCTGCATTCCCTCTGTTCACCTTGCTCATCGTTCCACTACCCCCAATAACTAGAGAGCTAAAGCAGAACCAAGTTGTGTTCTTTGGTGCCCTCTACGGGACAGTTTTCTGCTACATAAAGTTGCCAGGAAGAAACCACAGCCTTCTCCCTCCCAGAGGAAAGTGCACAGGACAATCTGAGTCAACTACACTTGGAACTGGGACTTCTGAATGCTGAACACTTTCGTTCATTCACAGGGTCCACATCATGGGTCTCTGCAGCCACTACCTTTGCAGAGGTTCATTTCTGTAAGATATTTCAACTCTTAAGAAAGCAGCAACAGCTTTCCTGAAAAGGTTTTGTTTTTGCAAACCTATGAAAGCCAAGGTCAGTAAATGTTCAGTCTTGCTTTTTGCTTACAGTTAAAACATACATATAACAACTGATGGATGAGCTACTTATTTGATAGGAAAGGTTTCAATTCAAACTTACATCACAAATGATGCAATAAACCCCCACCCCCTCTTCAGAAGGCCAGCAAAAGGATGTCAGATGCAAAATATGACTTTTAGGTATTGAGATAGATTGTGACAGTAGGACTGTAGGTTTTTTTTTTCTCCCTCTCCTGAGATGCAAATTACAGAGTATTTAGCTTCCAAATCCACAAATTCTCCTCATCTTGACAGGGTCTTCACCCACAGATCTGAATTTAGTTAGTCTTGCACATTGCTCCTTTTTACCTAAAGCTCTTTTGTAGAAACCATGGTAGACCCAACTCTGTACATCTCTCAGCTTCAACTTTTACAAGTTGTTCTCTTGGGCTTCATATGGATAGGAAATATAAGTGAGGAAAAATGAATCTAAAACCACAATTGTTTCCAAACAGTAATGTTACTCACTTGTTTCACATTTTCTGCCAAGAACACAACATAAACGCTACAAAATCCCAGCTGTGTTATCACTAGGAAAAAGTTGACAATATACCTGAAGAAGAAAAAACAAAGATACATTACACTTAGGATCCAAACAATTAACCCATTTCTACCTAATACACAATTACTACTCCTTGTTACAGTACACAGAATGGTAGATTCAAATGCCACACTAATCTCACGAGCACTGCAATGCAGGTTCCTCTTATGGTAAAACAGGGTGGTTTTGTATGTGTTTTTTTAAGGTAACATTGAGTAGGCATCAAAGTTTCTCCAAAAAAAAAGGTACTCATATTTTAAGGTGGCATAAAGTGAAATTGAAAGACTTAACAATGTGCTACAAATACAAAAACCAGCCATATATAATCAGCGCACACATAAATTCTGCTGGAGCTCATTAGCCCCTAACACAGCAGCTTTCCACCAGGACGAGAGATGTCTCACACAGTCTAAGTCATGTAAGTTTGAGCAATTCAAGATAACATTTTCTCATCTTACTCAGTGGGTCTATATCAGTGTATCCAAATACATAGTCACACACTGTATCTCATTGAAAAAACACTCTAAACTATGGTTCAGATAGCTTTAGAAAAATGTTTTACGCAATGGTGGCCTGAAGCTAATGAAACTTTGCCAGAGTCAGGCACACAGCTGAGATCTGCCTCAGAGAATGGATTTGCTGCACTACGGCAAATTTTCTCTGGAAATCAAATTGCTGTTTGTGGCTTGTAACTCTTTGGTGCATTACAGAATTGTCATTGTATTTCACTACAAACCAATTTTCCCTCTAATCGAGCTCTACTCCATTCCAATGAAGTCACAACAAAGGATCTTAAAAGACCAGCTCACCTTTTTCTTATTTGAAACAAAGTAACAGCCAACTCGTGATGCATGATGCTGCATCCTTGACAATAACAGGACTGTAAAAAATTCTTCCTCATTCAGGAAAAAACTCACTTTAACATTGAACTACATGTCTGAGTTTTTTAGTTTCACTACTGTACAGTCATACCATAAACTCCATAAACAGGTATACAGCAACAAATGGCAATGAAAAATTAATGGTGTTTTTTAAAAGAGGGATAAAGTATTTAAGAGAGTCAATCAGCTACTGATATCTGCATGTCACTATTGTCAATACAATGCAAAATATTGTCAATACTTCTCCATTATTTCTATGTTATACTTAAACAGAAATCAAAGAATTGCTTTGCTTCCTTTCAGAATAAATATACTGAAGTAATTAACATTCGCCATGTCAACCTGCTTAAAGAGTGAACTCTGAGGCAGAGAAAAATGTTTACAGCAAAAGAGAATGAAAACTTTAATTACTTCACTACATTAGACAATACAAAACACATTTCTGGTTATTCTACATCTCCTCCTATACTACTAAACAGAATTCTTTTCTTCACAGCTCTTTTGGACCCCAAAATTGAAATGTCTAACAGAGAGAGACACTCCCAAATCCCTCCATGTTACCACTACTAGCTGAAATAGCTACTGAAGAAATAGCAACACTTCATAAAAATATTTCAAGCACAGAGAACACATTCTTAAAGCAAGTAACATCTTAGTAAAAAGAAAATCTCCTAACAATTCCAAGTGTAGCCATTATTTTTCTAGTAACAAACTTATTAAATTAAATTCTAATGCAAACTTACCGTCCCCAAGAAGCTCGTTTCTGAAGAGCAGTCAGGGGCCCCACTTCCATGGCATAACTAACTGTATCACTATACCCCAGAGAGGACTTTTTCATCCTGAAATCAAAGAGTGAAGAAAGAACAGAGTTACTAGAAACTATGTGGGCCTAGATCCCTACCCCGAAAACACTGGCGGCCTCCCAGGGTTATAATAAGTAACTGTGACACCATTCTGCAGCTGCTGAATTTTAGACATATGGTTTGGGCTTCTCTGCCCCAGGAAGGGCTATTCAGCACTCTGCGAGCATGTGAGCCACAATGCTGCTTCCCCTTAATTCAACAGGACTAAATCAGTTTCTTACAGAGCAACTTTCTTGATAAATTAATCCAAAATTAGATTCTTCTAGTATCAGCTTAAGAAATTCATCTCAAGCCTAAAAGTCACAAAGAACTTCAAACAGGATTCAACAGACTTTCCTGGACATCAAGACAACTGCAATTGTTTCAGTGATCTTAGTTTTCTGTACATCTTCAAAGGTCATTCAAAACTACAGAGGAAAAAGCATAGACTTCAGGAGCGACAGGATCCCTTCACAGTACAGTATCACATTAAACTGGTAAGACAGTTTTTCCAGCTACAGAGACAGAAAGAGTTTTGTGTTTTCATTCAGTTCAAAAACTTCACTGCACTTTTTCAATACAAGACCCTCCCACTGTTTCTCTTTAACAAATGTCAGTAAGATAAAAATGTTTAATAAAAGTCACTATTAATCAAAATACTTATCAGTCAAATTTTAATAACTGCTCCACCCAAGCACTGTACACCTTGCTTGGAGGAGTATCTAGTGTTCATCTGCTCACTAGCATCATTTTAACACATTCCTTCAGCACTACAATTTCAAAGAATCAAGCTGTCATAATCCAAAAAGACAGAGCTCACATATAATCGTGATAAACATTAACAGTAATTCTTACTTTACCTTTTATTTCTATAAAGTACTTATAAACTGGCTATTTATAAATTGGACATTTTTCAAAG